TACAGTCATCTACATGGAAGCCAATTGCGCACAGCAGTGTCTCACAAACAGTCGTGGATTGAAGTGACCAATTTATTATTGTTTTTAGATAAATAACTAATAAATATATAGATAAATACATAAAGTCCTATCACGTCATTGTAACTTTTCAAACCACATAACAGGAATTTTTGTGAATTGTAGGGTTTGTATTAGTAAGTAAATTCAGCAGCCAATTTCGCTATATAGCGGAAGGAATATCATCGAGGTCTATAGAAACCTGTAGCTCAGTGGTTAGAGCACTTGCCTCGCAAGCAAGAGAACTGGGTTTGATTCCCGGGAGGGCGAAACCTTGGGCAAGTTTCCTTACTCCACATGCATGATAATAATCCCTCAAGAAAAAAAACAGTAATAAATTGGTCACTTCAATCCAAGGCTGTTTGTGGGATACTGATGTGCGCAATTAGCTGCCGCGTTTCACCCACAAACATACAGTCAATTTTTACAATATATTCTGTGAAGTGCTTTGAGATGTCTAGAAGACGTGAAAAGTGCTGTATCAAATGCAAGGATTATTATATTATTATTTTATTATAGATTTACTCTTTTTTCTCCTCATCATTTCAGAGTGTTTTGAATTTGGTAAATTCTTAAATACAGTCTTAATTCTGTAGCCCATGTAAGATAACACATTTTCTGGGGAGGGACTTATGTGCAGGTGACGACACCATTTCCATTCTTGATTTCCCATCAGTTACTGAATTGTAAATCCCTGGGGAAAATTTTTTATTTGAAAAGCAAAATGTTGCACCTAATTTTTTGCATCTGGGAAATTTTATGTAAATGACTGAGCATACCTCCCACAGAGAAGTACAAAAGTCAAATTTCCCTCCATTTTCCCATCATTGAGTGGTTTTCAGAAGCTGTTTGATAATGTGAACGTTATAGATTAGAGAAAGGTTGTGGCCAGCAAAGGTGAACTCCCAGCGGTATTCATTTCCTGTAGACCATTTTATTTCTCAACTGTGGTGATTCATATAAAACCATGATAAGAAATTACAACCATCATCTACCGTAAGATACTGTGATTCATAACTGAGTTAAAAATGGCATGACTTTAAATACCATTGCTTTTCCCCTTTGTGTAGGTAAAAATCATATTTTCTTGATAAAGTCTAACTTTTTCAAAATTTTGTCAAGGAATCACATTGTGTTTTTGTACCTAAATTTCCGATTAATTATTTTTCTTTCATAACAAATGCTGACTAACAATTTGCTCTCATTATTTCAATGCATGTAAGTGTTAAATGTTGAGTGTTAAACACTCCAGGATGCTCCCCTGCATGAAGGGCGCTACGTGGGCACAAGTTCTAGTTGTTGTTGAGTGCCAGTTTTCTAATGGTGTTCTTCCACTTTTAATGCACCTTCTTGGCCAAGGTAAGGTCTTTGGCTTTTAACATGTGTCAATTTAAAAAACGGGCATCAAGCAGCGGGCTCTGGTCTGGTTCACGTTCCCCCGCCTCGCTCGCCCCACTATCGGCGGGCGGGCCTTCTGCCACTCTTAACCCTAATCTTAACCCTCTAGAGCTCCATTCCGCAGTCCCTCCACCTTGCTCCCTCCCTTGCCACCTTCAAGACCCATCTCAAGACCCTCCTCTTTGTCCGTGCTTTCGATCTCCCTGCTTCCCCCCCTGCCCTCCACCTTCCCCGACCCCCAGCTCGGGTCCAAAACTCTATCTGTCCAGTGCCTTGGGATGTCCTCCCGACGTGAAAGGTGCTATACAAATGTAATTCTGTTGTTGTTGTTCCCTTTTTGAATAATGCCAAGGGATCTTTACCATACACCTGAACACCCATTTGAAATGCCTAAACCCGAGTCTCTTGTTCTACTGTCTTAGTTCATCTGAAAGTATTGTACTAGACTTAATTTTGTAATTCCCATTTACAATATTATACACATCTATAAGGTATCCTCTGAGATGTTTCCTTTTGAGACTAACGAGCCCTAGTTCATCTAATTATTTCTTATTCTGACTCTTCCCTTCACATGCTTGAGATTATTCAGAGCTCTGTAGCTCCTGTACCAAGCTCCATGAACCGAACCGATCACCCCTATCCTCACATGGCTCCACTGGCTCCTCATCCATCTGAGGATCGAGTTTAAAATCCTTGTTCTCACTTTTAAAGACCCTCCATGGTCTTGCTCCTCCCGCCCTCTGTGACCTATTAACACCATAATAACCTGTTCGCTCTCTCCGCTCAGCACTCACTGGCCTGCTTCATGTCCCTGACCTGCCCGCCCCACCATCGGTGGTTGGGCCTTCACCTTTTCTGCCCATGCCTTCTGGAATTCCATCCCGGAATCCTTCCACCTCTCCTCCTCCCTTACTTCCTTCAACGTGTGCCTCAAGACTTTCCTCTTTGACTGGGCTCCAGTCTGCTCCATGTCTCCCGCCCGACCTGCCCTACTATCGGTAGCTGGGCTTTCAGCCTCTCTGCCCCCATGGTCTGGAACTGGAACTCCATCTAACGGTCCCTTCGCCTCGCTTCCTCCCTTGCCTCTTTCAAGGCCAGTCTAAAGGCCCTTCTCTTTGATCGTGCCTTTGGTCGCCCTCCCACCTCTCTGCCTTCCCTCACCCCTACACCACCCCTCCCCTATGCTCGGGCACCGACACCTGACCGTTCAGCACTTAGGGACGTTCTCCCGACCTGAACTCAATACAGTTTGTCTTGTTTAGTACTAGTTCTCACTATTTTAACATATGAATTATCCTTCTGTGCTGTATAATTCAATGATTCTATGATTCCCTTAAGCTTTTCCTTTAAATGTAATTTTGTTGTTGTTGTTGTTGAGCCACCCTCCCAAACCTCCAATCCCCCCTGATCCTCCAACCCCCCCCAACCCTCTAACCCCCCCCCCCCCCCGCCCACCCCCAACCCTCCAACACCCCTACCCTCCAAACCTTACGATTCCAATCCCCAGCTTGGATGCAAACTCTTAACTGTCCAGCGCCTTGCGACATCTTTCTAACATGAAAAATCCTATATAAATGTAATGTTGTTATTGTTGCTAGCTTGAGTATGACTTCTGGGGATCTGAACTCAATAAAAACAGTGTGTCTTGTTTGTTACTAGTTCTCACTGTTTTAACATATGAATTATCCTTCTATGCTGTATAAATCTATGATTCTATGATTCCCTTAAGCTTTTCCCTTGAGCTTCACTTAATTTTGGGTGACTTTAAATTCACCTTTGCCTGTCTTAGCTATGTCACCTCACTCACTCTCTCACTCATGCCTACTTCTCTCAACCTTATCATCTACACTTTGCAAAGGAACCATAAACAATCTGCGTTCTGTCAAAAGTTGTGATCTGGATGCATTACAAAGGGGGTGGGAAAATGGAGCAGTGGTATTTGTTCTGCAGGAAATATGCATTCAGGAAAAAGCGCAGATTTCTATTAATTTGAATTGGGGATTCCCATTTACACATTTTTATTAAAGTGGCTTATTTTATCAGTAAATGTGCAGTTCTAATAGTGAGAAAATTAAAGACACAATGCAAACTTTCAGAGTTTGCAAATTGAAACCGAGAAGCAATTGTTGTGGTGCCTAATAATACCAGGCTCTCACATTCAGTCAGGACTTTCCTATCAGAAATTCCAGTGCAGTCTAACATGCTCTCTTGTGTCTTCACAGCAGTTCAGTCCACACAACAGCCTGCATAAGGGACAGCCCCTGAGGGGAATTCAAGACCAGAGGTGGAGGGAGCAGTTTGATACTGATGTGAATGGGCAACAACACTTGTTCCCTTTTAACGGAAGAGAATGATAAAGTGGCATTTCCTATAGAACCGTGAAGAGAGACTGTGGGTGTGTGTGTGAGAGAGAGAGAGAACTGAAAGACTTAAGGCAGCAGATAAGGACATGGAAGTGGTGATCAGATGAACGAACGCTGGTCTCACAATCAGGAGGATTACAAGTGATAACATTTTGATTTTTTTTGTTTCCTTCTAACCAGCTTCCTCTTGGATTTATTTAGTGGAAGTGTGCATCCACCGGCTGCTTTTAACAAGATGTTTGAGGGCTGGATGTAAAAAAAAGAACCACAAGATTGACAAAGGTTAGAAGTGAAAGAATATGCGGTTATCGAGAATTTGAATCATACAATTAATACTTTCACTTGATCTGGGCCATTATTTCCTATAGTACAAGCCACTGGGGAAATCGAAATTCTGATTTAAATAGCTCAGTCTTGGAATAAGGCATTTTGTTTAAGTGTAGTGGGGTGGGGGGGATATTAAGGAACTGAAGTATGATTGTGTTTTTCCAGTTTAAAACATTGCATATGTTCTGCAATGAAAAGTTTTCCTTTATTTGCGAGTTATTTTAACTGAGGCTACATCAGGCCCAGTTTTGTGTTTCTTATGCTTTTTTAAAAAAAAATCAAAGCGGTTGTAATTTGCCTTCTTCCTGTGAATGAGAGTGAACTGTTGTTGCGTGCAGAGTCTGGGGAATGCAAAGTGTGTGGTCTTTGGGCTCTCACTAATGCAGTTTGTGCACTGTGACTGGAAATAGTCTCAGGGCCATGCAGAGTAACACTGAGCTTTCCTTCCCCTCTCTGCCTCTCCTTCATTCCTCTGCTTCTGCACGCCTGCTGAGGTAAATCATCGTGAATGGGGGCTTTGAAGTTTTCTTTCTGAAGATGTGTAAGTTGACGTGGGGGACAGGAAGGGGGATCGGGAGAAAACGACAAGATTACATTTGCATAGCGCCTTTCACGTTGGGAGGACGTCCCAAGGCGCAAAAAGGCTCTTGTGTTTTAAGCTGTGACTTCCCTCGGTGAGCAATGCTATGTCCATTAGAGAGTGAGAAGAAAGGAGATGTGAGTGTGGGGGCCTATTTTCTTTGCTGGAAATGACAGCTGGTGCTGTCACAGCTCACATGATAGAGCTCTATGGAAACAAGCTGTTTAGCTGAAGCAAGCCAGGGCTGCTGGTCAGCTGATTTTTCAGGCAGTAGTCAGGTGATCATACGATGTTGACTAGTCACATACAGCACTTACTGTGAAGACCCTGAATGCTGCAGGTAGGAGCAGAGATCTGCAGTGATTCATTTCTTTTAAGTTTCAATGCTCTTGCGGTTTGCGTTCTGTACCGCTTGATGTCTGTGCATCTCCTTCTGAATGTGCTTTGTATCATAGTAATTAAATCCGTTGAGCTTTAATATGTTTGCAAGTGGCAGGATGAAATGCTCTTGCCTTTTATAGATTTTCTGCCTCAAAACAAATTATCAGTGTAGTCGTCTGGTTGGGTGTACTTGTGCAGGGTATAACCTTGAAACTTGTGGCCAAATTGATTGTGAGAATTAGGTTTGAATGTAATTTATGGAAATTAACTTGTGTATTGAGGTGTCAGACCAGGTTGTTTAACTGATCAATGTGCCTACCCATAACCTGCATTGGCATCAGTGTCTTGAAAATAATATAAAACCATAGGGACTGTTTGGGGGGGCTGGGGTGGGGGGGGAGCCTCGGAGTCGTTTGACAGCAATTTGTAAAGTCATCTCTTTCTGCTGCATAATAAGAGTACAGTATTTGTCAACCGCATGTTATCAACCCTAAAGACGTTGGTGTCTAATACCCTGTAATTATTTCCAGTGCAATGGTACTTCTGAAATCCTCTCATCTCTATTGGTTTTACTTTGAAATGGTATTATGCATTTTTTTCTTCAGTTATGCAAGACGCATCTTGAATTTCATGTGAATTATCATTAATTCAGTAATTGTCAGCTCGGTTCACTTGGTAGCACCCTCGTCTCTGAGTCAGAAGATTGTGGGTTGAAGCTCCACACTCGCACTTCGAGCTGACACTCCAGGGTAGTCCTGAGGGAGGAGTCGTCCTTTGGATGTGATGAAAAACTGAGTCTGTCTATATCGGCGGACATTAATTGAAACTATTTGAAAAAAGATAGATAGTTTCTTCCGGTGTCTGAGCCAGTGATGCTCCAGATAAATTGTTCATTCACTTCATGGCTGTTTATGGAATATTCCTGTACGCAAATTGACAGCAATTACCTTGAAGACCTTTGAGATAATTAGATAATATAGGAAACGATTATTGTTATTTATTGCAGGGCAACCCAATTATACTAAATGCCTAGTTTGAGTGGGGGTTCACTTTTAATGTGGATGTTCCGTAGATCCATTGTTACCAGAAGTTCAGTTAGCTTTCAGTTCAGACCAGGCCAGGTTTATTCTGCTAAATAAAAAGGTTGCTGTTGACATCATTTGCTGCACTTGACGCCAAGGAAGTGATATCAGTGAAGCTTCCTGCACATGAGCAAATCTGACAGTAGAATTTCATTTTATGTGTAGGATGGTGTTTATTGCAACAATTTTTAAAAAAGTCTAATTTTTAAAAAAATTATTCTAGCCATCTCTCGTTGCCTTGCCGCATGTATTTGGTTAATATGTGTATGTCCACAAATCTAAGGGTTGAGACAAATATCTTAAAATTTAAGTTCATGGAGAATTTTGGAAAATGCTTGAATTTAACCTTAATTTGAAAACTGTTTCTCTGTAGTTCTTTATAAATTAAGAGAGAATTCAAGAATTTATCAAATTTTCGGCACAATCTTGAATTCTAAGATAAAGGTCTTAAGACTAAAATTGTGCGAAATATCAGGCATAAAAATAATGGATGAGCCAAACATGCAAATGAAAATGGCTGATTTTCTCTATCTAGAAAAGTATATGACAACAGGAGGTTGACAGCATTTTCTGTGCAAGTAAACATTCCCGAGCAGTCTATGAGTTTATATATACATAATACACATATATTATATGTATATATATATATATAGGATTTCTGTGATGAAGCGAAGTTGAATCTTGACTGAGGGACAGATTAGTCAGCTAGCAAATTATTTTGCTTTCACATGGGCCCATTGTCTGGATGCAACAGTGTTCCCCATGCTGTACTGGAATACTCATATCTATTGCACTAGTTTACTGAGCGCTATCTTCTTGGTATTCCCTGGTTCATCCTGTACTGCTGCATCTAGGACAAGTCAATCCAATAGGCAGACTGTGCTGTAACTTCAGCCACTAATGCTGCTTCATACAAGCGCTCCCTGGAGGAATATAAAAGTACAACATTTCAAAGGAAAGGGATATGGGAATCCTGATACACTGGAGAACTCTTCAGATCACAGCTGACTTGGTCCAAGGTGAAATGGTTGCTCTAATTGAAGGATTACCCACTGAACACTTTCTCATTGTTGCTGACACTTTTTATGGTGCTTCAAAATAAATGCCACTGAATAGCTGACTAATTCATTGGTCTGCAGGAAAACCTTCCAGCCAGCCAAAGGCAATGCATTTCAAAGGTATCTATGGAAGGTTCCTGGTTTGTGCAGTACAGTGGCCGTCTGTGCCAGAACGTTTTCCCCTACTTGTTGCTAAATACTTAATACTCTCAGTTCAGTTAAAGCATTCAATTTTATTATTGCTGCGTTGTTACTGTGTGGGGTTTCCTTGTTTGCTTTGAAAATTATTTTGTCCCTGGCTTGATTCTGCCTTTGGAAACTGAGGACTCAGCAGCACCTTAGCTCAGGTCTGCACAAACCAGAGAAGAAATCTATAATCTTTCAGACGTGTGTGGCTCAATATCCACACCAGAGAGTTCACAGAATCACAGAGTCACAACACCTCTGCCTTCTCTATTAAAACCTAACAAATATGTTTCTCCAAAAAAATTGTGTCCAATTATTTTTCTAATTTTCTCCAAACTTCTCTGCTCCTGGTCTGGTCTCCTCTTGCTGAGACGCTCTTACACCAGCGCTGGCTGCCCTCTGGAACCCCTGCTCAAGTGGCCATTGTTCGTGTGCCTATGAATGTCGGCAAGCATTGCAGAGGGCATCACAGTTTAGCTGACCTCTCCCCGCTCGGCTGCCACACAAGCATATAGGGTGCTGTGGAGGGAATGCAAGCAGGAAGCCCTGTCTGTTTGTTTCCTCCCTGACCCTGGGAAAGCAGGGGACGAATTTAGTTTCCCCATGAGATCAGCAAATGCAGCGCAGATCGGAATTCGAAGCAGGGAACCCCTAGTCCGTAAGCTGCAGCTCTCTCCACTACACTCTCAGGGCTGTCCAGCACCCAACAAACAAAGTCTTTCTGAAATTCTGGTCACAGTTGGTGACTAATCCTGAACAGATTATCATGCCTCTCACTCCTCCTCTCACTCTCCCACATTACACGAGACAGGAGATAATTTTGCATAAAATTAGGCAAAATTACTTGTCAGAAAGTTGATAGATACATTCAGTGCTTCACTATTTTGTCTTTGAGCCAATAAACTCCAAAATCACACTCCAAAATTCTGGGAAGTAACTGGCCAATGGAAACTGCTGCAGTAACTTTTTGTATGTGTTTCACTCTAGGCATTTAAGTTTTGCACTGTGGGGTGTACTGGCCTTGTTGCTGTGTCAAATTGACTGACAGAATCCTAAAAAAGATATCAACTTGAGTTCACAGCCTAGCAGGATGCTGCCTGAGATCTGCACCACATTACCTTTCCCCAGCCTTTCTGGTTACTCTTTATTTTGTGTTTCTGGGTTGTGGAATTCCATTCATCCCAATTCCTTCACCTTGTGTAATGTTTAAGTGGCCAAGCAAGTTTGTGAAATTCACTTCTTTGGGAGATTGAACACTTTCAGATCTGTGACTGAATGGTATTTCTCTACTTATTGAAGCCCATTCACTAAGAACTATTAATATATTTTAATATTGCACGTCAAACCCAATAAATATATTATATCTAGTGGCATTTTGTAACGTGTTCCTTGTGATGGTTATCATGATGTGCTACCAATTCTTCCTGTAGGAGAACATCTCAAAGTGTTTTACAAAGGTGGAGTGGGAATGATTGCTGAAAGCGAGATTGAAGGTTTCTAGGCGGGTTTTCAAATTGGGGAGGAAGGGAGCGAGCTGGACAGAACTTGGAAGAGTTCCAAAGAGAAGAGGCAAAGTGACTGAAAGCTTACTGTGCAATGGTAGTTGAGGGCATAAAGTTAGTCAGAGTTCATGCAGCAGAGGGGTTGTGCGTGGGAGTAAAGTTGCACAAGGTCACAGAATTGAGCAAGACTGTGTTGGCATTTGAAGGTGAGGCGGATATTATTCGATTTGCTGGGGGATAGAGAGCCAGGCGAAGATGGGGTGATGGACTTGTGAAACTGAGTTCAGGCTGTGGAGTTCTGACTGAACTGGATCTTGTGGAAGATACAGTTGGGAGACCAGCGAGTAGGGCATTGGAAACGTTGAGCCTGAAGATGACAACGGATGAGGGTTTTGGTTGCACTGGAGACGGGGTGGTGTCAGAACGAGCAGTATTGAGGAGATGCAGAGCCCAGATGAAAGATTTAAAAGAGAGTAAAAGATTGAACAAAACTTTGAGGTTCTGTACTTGGAGGCATGAGCAAGACCGAGCAACAATTGAGCAATATCAGAACTGAAGGGGAACTAGGCTGAATTAAGATTAGGTGCTTGCATCTTGGGTGTGTAATTGTACCAGGAGTCCTAACCACACAGTTCAGAAGAATCAAAACAGAAACAAAAATGTAACTAACAGTAGTTCATTTCGAATGGAACCTCAACCAAGCCCTATCCCATTCAGAATTAATGTAACTCATTGAAAGCGGCCGTTCCATTGGTATTAATGATGAGGGCTCCACTAAGATCACTTTATTAGGGAAGTTAGATCGGAAACCTCAATAAGATTTCGGATACAAGCCTTGAATGAAGAAATTGAATATATTTTTAACCCAGTTTCACTTCACTTTTTGTACATGACCTAAGTAAAACTGGAACGAGTTTTGTACCCGGACGTACAACTCAGAGGTAAATGCTGAACAGGAGTAGCTTTCACGCCACCATTCACCGGTTAACCTAACCTCATTGTCTGCGTCTCTGGAGAACATGTTGTTCACTTCTCTGTTGTCAGGTGTCAGTGTAACTGATGGAGTCACAGCTCCCAGAACGTCCAAAATGGATTCTGGAGGATCATTTTAAAAAATAAGGAAAATGAAAG